CCGCGTATCCTGCTCGTACCCCGAGACGGAGTTCGCAAACCGAAGCAAAATTTTGCAGCCGGAGCTGGTCGTAACCCGAAAAGTTCATTAACAGAAGCATTCGTAACCCGAGGTTCCACTGTAATAATTTTGTAACTTCTGGCCTGTATTTGAGCCTGAATGTGTACCCAAGGTCTGAAAAATATTTCAAGGGTTCCTCCAGGGTCAAAAGGTTGAGAAAGGCTGCTCTAAAGAATTTCATTATCTGGGGGAATCAACATTGTGAAATCGTAGAGTACTGCTGAAGTAGGACATTTTTATGGGTGCTTGCTGATGCTATAAGTGCCTGGATGAGATCCATGGTGGCAGTGTTAGCTGACAGTTTTGAAGTCTCAAACAAGATGTCCTCAGTGGATTTTCTCCAAATTCTTTCTGTACTGCTTATTCACATGCTCCCTCCTTCTGATCTAAACTATACATTAATCAAGAGGAAAAATGTGTTAAGGAGGCTGTTCCATCCTCTTATTCTTATTACTATGTTGCTTATTTGAAATGACAAGTGAATGTGCAGTGATAGTTACAGGGAGCAATAGCAGTGACTTCAGCAGTTGAAAGCGAGCCCTCAGCAGATCTGGTCTTGTTAGATTCCTTTATATACCTTAACATAGGTTTGGCATTGTAGTGTAGTGGTTGAGAAGCTAGACTAATATCCTTAAGTCACGGTTGAAAATTATCCATGACATGCCTTGGGTGATCAAGCACTATTTCTCAACCAAATCTCTTTCATGGAATTACCATGACTATAATAATAAATGGAGGTGGGGCTATATATAATATTCTGCATTCCTTGGAGGAGCAGGAGGCATAAATATGTAATGATATGTTATATAGAACCTTCTGAGCCTCACTCCTAAGAGTGTTTCAAGTGTTTCTTTATTTGCTGAACAAGAAAGCTGTAATGCGCTATACAGTACATGTTATAAATAGCCCAGGAACAGTACTTAGCCTTAGATGGTGTGCTGGGGACCACGCACTAGAAAGTAGATCTAGATCAAAGGCTAAAATTAAATTAATAATTTAAATTCATTAAATGCCATTAATCCGATCACTCTTCGTGCATTTAATAATTCCTCCCTTCTCTGTGGGATAAGTTAGTTAATTGTAAATCTAACTTTGAAATATTGCAAGAAATGTCTCTCATAATAGTAGCTTGAATCTCCACAGATACCCAGCCAAGCCATTTATAGATTGCAGTATGAAGTGCTGTTCTTAACCAGGTATACTGGTTTATTATATCAGTCCCTGAAGAGAAGGAAAATTACACATTCAAAAAGAATAAATGATGAGCTATTTCCTTTACATGCAAGTTTTCTTCAGATGGTGTCTGTGACAGAGTGAAGCAGCAGCACAGAAAGATTGTGTGCAGTAAAAGAAAAGCATAGAGAATCTGCACATATTGATAAGAAAGCATTAATTGGGAATCCTCCATTTGAAGGGGAAACATATTGTCCAGAAATGCATGAAATGTCTTGGATGATTTAATGATTTACTTTAATATTTTATTGTGATCTATACTGTATTTTTTATCATTATTATTGTATTTTTTAAAAATTTTTATGCCATTATTTATTGCTACTCTTCATTTTTTATTTTATCAGTTGTGCTGTATTCTCTGTAGGCGTTTATATTGCTTTTACAATATTGTTTTATATTGTAGGCTTTTTCATTGTTTTAAAACATTACAAAGTATGTTATAATTGATTATATATTGCACAAGGAATTCCTACAAATGGGCAGTAAAGAAGTACAATAAACAAACAAACCCATTTGTAAATAAAGCATATTGACCAAACAATTTGAACTCATTACTTGTTCAATTTTTGTGCTTTTCTGTGAATATCTATACTTTGTCAATTTATATACATTTCAATCATATGAATCATAACATATAAATAGAAAAACAAACATAGATATTGGCCTTGATCTTTTTTTCTTCTCCCATACTGCAAACTTACAGATAATATTTCTCTGATATTGTTTTATAGAAAAAATGAGAATGAAAGAAAAAAATAAGCAATGCTATACAGACAATTTATTAGCATTTAGGGAAGATTTTCTGATCTGGTGCTACCATCTATAGGTCCATCTGGTATACAGCAAGCATAACTTGCTAATATATTTTCTTTCCAACAACTACAGTAAAGTCTAATCAAGGCATGCTGAAACAGAAAACATGGCATGTGTTCCAGGATGGAAAAAGTAGAAGCTTTCTTCCCTTTTGTCTTCATTATAGTGTTGGTGTTGGATTTTGTAAGGCCTGGTGAGTTAAAGAACAAGATGGTGTCCACTTTCATTTCACCTTCAATTATCAGTACATTTCAGTTTTGTATATTTATACAGTATTGAAAATGGGCAGTTCTTTCCAGCTACAGTAAGCTAAGTGTCACACCTGCAATACAAGCTTGCTGTCTCCCAAAACATGCCACATGAGCCTCATAATTTGGACTCTCATATACCTGACTACTCTTTCCAACTGTGCAACTGAAGAAATGTGAGCAATAAAGTAAGAATCAAGGGAGATGAATAATTTTTCCCCAGGGAGATGGTCTTCCTCTGAGTCTACCTGAGAGAGTATCAAATTTACAAAATATTTGATAGAGAGAAATTACCACAAATCACAGATTGCAGGAAACTGACATGGTATCATTCCCTTCAATAAGAACCCCGGGCTTCACATTCAAAACAGATGTAAAGCACTGATTTCTTATATGAAATGCAACTACATTTAACTATTTGTGATTTCATGCCCAAAGTAAGCACTAAAATTTGTGAATGTTGTATCACTCAACAATAATATCTGCAACAGCAAAGATGGGTGCATTATTCTATCCAAGTAGCCAAGCTCATACATTTTGGCTTCAAATTACAGATATTGTAACAATATTTATTTATAAAACCAGTCTTGTAAATATTACTTCGATGTAGAGGTGAGATTTTAATCATGCATGTTCTTACTTCCTGGCAATCAGTGAATACTAAGTGAATACTTCTACTTTGGATAAATTAACACATGATAATTGATCATTTGTATTGACTCTTCATTAACATTTTGAAAAGGAAAGGAACAGACATTAAAGTACTAGTTTAATTGCCATGGGAAAAGAACCAAGCAATTATTCTGAATTACTATTGGGAGTAGAATGATTGTGGGTATAAATATGGAACAGCCTTCCATTGGAAAAAAATAAGAACTTATAGTTGAAGAGGATGAGAGGCTACTTCTGCACCATTATATCATAATATTGCTAATATGAAATGAACAGTGGAGAACTACAGGAAAAATAAAGGGTATGACAGAAATGCTAAGGAGAGAAGGAAACTTTTTTTAAGCCATCTTGTACAGCACATGAAATCATCTATAATTTAAAAAGGGATGTCCATTAGCAAGGCCTCCCCTTCCTTCTCATCCTGCACCAATATCACTTTGGATTATTTTTATAACTTGCAGAAGCAGGGCTTAAACAAAACTGGTCCTAGATAAAAAGTTCCTATTATTAATATCATTATCTGTAAAAGTTCTTTAAACCGCCATCAATTTCCCATAAATTGGGAAGCTCTAAAAAGTTATGAGGAATGAAATTGGTCCTGCAGAGATTATTAGACTCAGTCTCAGGCAGCTGGATCAAAATAATGGATGCTAAAGTCTAATGTATGGCAAACCACTGATTCTCCATCCATATTTTGGAAGCTCCTTTAAGATAGAGGAAAAAATAAGCTCTTCTAGGTGGTTCTTGTCTGTGTTGGAACAGATTCAAAGAACACACTATGTCATACTTTTTTCCCCCAAGGAAAAGTATTTTTTAAGAAATTCAAATGAAGATTCTCATTCCAATGATGAGGACAGACTTAAAATTATATACATGTTTCTAAAATGAAAGTAAACAATTTCTATGAATGGGAAGTCAGAGTATACCTCCTGTGGTTGTTCCTTGAAGTGGCCGGCTCTGGTTCTGTGAATCGTAACTTTGCCAGGTATATTGAGGCTCCGGGGATCCTTCAGCAGAATGGCAAGTCAGGTTAATATTTCGACCATATTCTGGGGTCCCATCAATTTTGCACACTGTCTTGGATGGAGACACTAGATAAAGAGATGAGAAGAAAACAATAATCATGGGCAAGTTCAATAACATAGGGAGAGAAGCATCACCAGAACACACACACTAGTCCCATCCCTTAGTCTCTAAATTCTAACACTAGCAGTAATTCTAGTTTTTCAACTCCATTTATTAGGAATAATATTTTTTGCTACAGACCTGCAATATATCTTCCCTATTTAGCTTGTTCATATCGACTTGTGTATATATAATAATGGAGAAGATGACAAAGCTTAATGACAATGCACATGCTTCTAGCACAGAAGTCTCAAATTCCTTCACCAGCATTTCCAGTTAAATGGTGATTTAGCAAATGATGGAAAAGTTATTTTCTGAGACACTGTATACTCTAGAAATCTTCAATCAGAGGAGACAAAGTGGGCTCATTTGACTAGATATAAAGCAGTTCTCTACCTTCTTGACTGTTTCAGTCAAATAGCAAACTGGCTAAAACACCCAAATGTCTTCTGTACAGCTTTACAGGTATTAGGATATAGTCTTCATCCCAAGCACTGCATAATAATTTTTTACACTATGCACAACTGTGTGTGGCTATTGTGCTCCACACTGAATTAGTGAACCGATCATTGCAGGCACCACTTCCTGTTTTCTGTAATATACTAATGAATCAAGATATTGGGATGGAGGAAATACAAAGGGCAGAATGCCTTACCAAGGACCAAAAGTTCTATTTGGACACTTCGAGAGGGGAAATCATTCATCATCTGAACTGTGCATTCATAGGTTCCATTGTCATCCATGGTCACCGGATCAAGGGTAATTCCAGCATCACCATTTTCTAAATTGGTAGAGAAGCTTAAACGACCTTTGTAAGATGGCGTAAAGTTTTCAATACCATTAAACGTCCTCCTAGCAAATTCTTCCTAGACAAGAAAGAAGGGTACCACATTAATAGACTTGCTGGTATAGCAGTGGGATTCCCACTGTTGTGCTGCAGCATAAATGAACACAGTGGGCACTTCTCTTGCTGCCTTCCAAGCTTTTTGCCCACTCAATTTTTTCAAAAAAATAAGGGTTATGTTGATTTCCAATAAAATTAAAAAGGAATATGGAAGGCTGCCTAGGATCTGCTTCCAGAATCATATGTAGCTTTAAGAAAAGCCTTGGATGTACACAGGACCCATAAGTGGCTGATGGTGTTTGGCTGCAGCTCAATCTTTTATTCATAAATCTGACTACCTGCCCAGTAAGGAGGAAAAAAAAAAACATAAACTGGAGTAAAGACAAACTGAATTTCCTATAGACCTACAGAACATGTCATGGAAAAATCTCAATTGTTTGCATTCTGACAAATTGTTCACACTGTGACAACTATTTTCTGAATGGCCAAGCCCCTCTACCTGCACTCCTTTTCTTTGATTGTATCCATGATACATTCTCTTTTTTAAAAAATAATATTTTTATTAAAATTTTACATAGATAAAAGCTAGTACAGAACTAAAAAAGATATACAAACAAAAAAGAAAAGAGAGAGAAAAAGAGATAGAGAGAAAAGGAAAGACATATAAAAAGCGACTCCTCCTCCCTTCAAACAAGTATAAATATTTGTAGTAACTTAACACCTTCTCTAGTATTACCAAAAAAAAAAACAAAACCCAACCCTCTTCTTCCCATTTCTCATCCCTTAACAGTAGCCAAATTATAAAAAGTTCATCAATCTTACTCAGTAAAAGCATTAAGAGTACTAGTAATAATAACCTATATATTTTAGCCTTAGACACACAAATCCATTATGCATTTTGACCTATAACTTTCTCTAATAAGTAAAATATAAAAGATTTATCGCCATAGGCATAAAAATACCAATAATAGTAACATATATATCTTACACTAAATCAAATAGGTCCCTTTTACATTCTAATCTATCATTTTCTCTAACAAACAGGACATGGAAAGTTTATCCCCATATGAAAAAATCTTTAAACCCTTGTCTTACAGTCCTGGAAAAAAAAAAAAAAAATTCCAATAATAACCCAAAATCACCACTTATACAATTTAACCCTGATCAAATAAGTCCACTTTGAATTGCTTTTTCTTCTTTTTAAGAGGCTTGATCTTCAGTCACTTCTTCAAATAAAGCCCCACATAATGATCTCTTATCATTTGGTCTATGACTGTAATAAACTGATTGAAACTCTCATCATTGTTTCCCTGCCTGTTTTCAGGAACAACTTCAGAAGTTTAATACTTCTCTTCTGTAAATCCAAAATAAGATAACTCTTAGAGTCACTCTTCTGATTTATAATCTGGATGCCCCCTTTAATTGTTAAAACATCAACCAGCATAATTTGAAGGTCCAGTGCAGCTTCTTTCTCCATGTCACTCTTATTGCTGAACATTTTTAAATCCCTTTTCAAATCCACAACATGTCCTCCATATCTCTTTTAAAGTCTGGCAATTTCTTAAAGTCCATTTTAAGATCCCTATTCAAATCATCCTCAGCCCCTGTTTTATCCAATAGAATCTTTTCTTCTTCTATAACCCCCATTGGCTCCACTTTGAAAGTATAAAAAAAATTAAAAATCGGTCCTAAACACATTGTTCCCAAGCCAACCTAAATTCTTCTATAGTAAAATAATATTCCTCCATTATGTTAGTTAGTAAGTTAGTAAATATCTTCTCCTTTAATTGCTCTCTGGTTCCATCTAGTTAACCCTCTTAACCTAGTCATATCTTTTGTTTATTTTCAGAGTCAAAACTTTCCCACAGTAAGGTTTCTTACCGTTAATTCCAAAATCATCAGCTGTATTTTTTATAAAATTTATAAAATTTAAAATAGTCCATAAAAACTATTCTTTTAAACCTGTCTGGCCCCT